CTTGCGTTTTGGTCATGTAACCATGGGGATGCTACTGCGATGGTTGTAAGCAGGAGGACTGGCTATATGCCACAGTGTCATTGTAACTTCAAGCGGTTAAATGAATAGTTGTAAGTCAACGATTACCTGTATAGTATAGCCTTTCTCAAACCAACTTCTCATCCCCATTAAACTTTAAACTGAATATACTTGCTTAACATGATACAAATGATTGACAAAACTATAAACAATCAGCAATAAGTCACTTGTAGAAGTTCTAGATCAAATTAAAATATAACTCTATAAGTAAGAAAAGCCAGGTTTTGGAAAACTCCCCATGGCCAACACACCACAGCCAACTCCCCATGGTCAACACACTACAACCAGCTCCCCATGGCCCACACACCACAGCCAGCTCCCCATGGCCCACACACCACAGCCAGCTCCCCATGGCCAACACACCATAGGCATGAAAGCAGTGGGTGACTTTGGGCCAATCACTAGGAGATGGTGAAATCTAGTCTTGTTTTAGGTAGGAAAGCCAGCTGGGTGACTTTGGGCCAATCAGCAAAGGATTCTGAGTTCTAGTCCCACCTTAGGTATGAAAGCCGACTGGGTGACTGGATGGATGGATGGATGCAATGGCGTAGACTTAACCTACTGGCCATTTGCCACCTGTCTGGGTGGAGACAGAATTTAACCAAACGGACTTCCCACCGTTGAAAATTCAGCTCTGGGTTGCTAGTCCAGAGAAGCAGTTTAAAAACGTCTTACAAGTAGCATATTAATTTTCAGAATATTGTAAACATCCCATGACCTTCAGGCACCACTTATCTAAACACTATTGTATTAAGAATCTGGTGGCAGAGATCAAAAGACAATTGTCTACACAGACACTTTGGCAGAAATTAGATTAAAACTTATCTGCAGGCGGCCACATGGGGTCCCAGCCTATTTCCCCCCCCCCCCGTGAGCTTGCACAGTTTCCCAAGGGAATAGATGAACTTGAGAAAACCTAAAAGATTCCCATTCCTTTGAGAAGCTCACTTGCTCAGGGCTTAGGTGAAAATGAGCAGAGCTGCTCCTATCTGCATGAAAACTACACGTATCGCTGGAGTTTTCAAGAGGAGACTGGACAGGATCTCCTGCTTGAGCAGGGGGTTGGACTAGAAGACCTCCAAGGTCCCTTCTACCTTTATTCTGATTTATTGATTGAGCTCCTTTAAACTGCCTAATTCCATGCAATCAGAGCTACTTTGGGCCCTCCTGAGATTGGGGATTATGAGATAATAATAATAATAATAATAATAATAATAATAATAATAATAATAATAATAATAATAATAATAATAATAATAATAATAATAATAATAATAATAATAATAATAATAATAATAAAGTTGGAAGGGACCTTGGAGGTCATCGAGTCCAACCCCCTGCTCAGGCAGGAAACCCTATACCATTTCGGACAAAGGGCTGTCCAGTTTCTTCTTAAAAACTTCCAGTGTTGGAGCATTCACTGCTTCTGGAGGCAGGTTGTTCCACTGGTTAATTGTTCTCACTGTCAGGAAGTTTCTCCTTAGTTCTAGGTTGCTTCTCTCCTTGGTTAGTTTCCATCCGTTGCTTCTTGTCCTGCCTTCAGGCACCTTGAAGAATAGCTTGACTCCCTCTTCTTTGGGGCAGCCCCTGAGATATTGGAACACTGCCATCATGTCCCCCCTGGTCCTTCTCTTCATTAAACTAGACATACCCAATTCCAGCAGCCGTTCCTTATATGTTTCAGCCTCCAGTCCCCTGATCATCTTTGTTGCTCTTCTCTGCACTCTTTCTAGAGTCTGTCTCAACATCTTTAAGATAGATAACCTTTATTGTCATTTTTTTACTGTGGGCACAATGGCACACATCAAAAATGAAATTTAGTCGCCCGCTCTCAAAAGTGAAACACATACATGACACACACCTAAAACATACTACGTACAACATACGTATAGACCCACACCCGTACATATACATAACAAATAAATATTAAACACTGTCCATCTTGAATATATAACGGAAGGAGGAAGCTTGAGAGTTCACAAGGTTAATGCTGTATGGAATGAAACTCTGGCTGAATCTGGACGTTCTGCTACCGTCATCCATAGATTTGAAAGGGCATCTAGTTAGGAAGTTTAAGCTTGAGTGTCAACCCCCAAAAAGACTCTATTCACACCACACTTTTAATCCAGTTATTGTGGCAAATATCCCCTTTTGGCACATTTTACCGAGCAATGTTTCATGTGACCCCAGAAAAGGGCTGAATTTCAGTAACTGCAAACAGGGCACTGCAAAAATTAAAGAGGAAATTAAATTGCATCGCACTTAAAAAGACAATTAAATCTGGGGGGGGGGCACCAAACTCTGGCAACACCCCCTCCTTAATTCATCCCTGCCTTCATTTTCCAAAATGCAGCCCTCCTGTTTATTTTAGCCCCTCCCCTGACTTGGCAAAAAAAAAAAAAAAGAATCGCCTCCCGGAATAAAGATGTCCCCGGTAGCTTCACAAAGGGGAAAAAAAAAGTACCGCTCTAGGCCTCTCTTTCTATGGCCCTCTCTCTTTCCCCCGAATCGCTCTCATTCATTTCAAGGCACGGCGGCCGGGACCATAGAGACGAGGACGCTAGAAGGGCCGCGAGGGATAGAAGCGGGGCTGGGACCGCGAATTCTTCGCCTCCTTCCGCATTTCTGGGCCCAGCTGCGGACGGAGCGACGGCTGGGGGCAAGGCAAGGTAAGGGGGATGCTCGCCCCGGCTCTCTCGCCTTTCTCCTGCTTGAACAGGGGGTTGAACTAGAAGATCTCCAAGATCCCCATTGCACAAGCGGCTGGCAGGAGCAAGGTTTGCCCCCGGGCTGCAAAAGCAATGGGTGTGTTATGTGTGTGCCTACGAGGGGTGGGTGTGTACGCGTGTGTCAGTGTCAGAGGCAGAAATTAGGGGGTGGGTGTGCAAGCATGCAAAGGGGGAAGGTGGCTTGAGCATCCTTGGAGAATGCTTCGACTTCACCATCTTTGCCAAAGAGAGGGTCTCTTATTCGTTTTGTTTATTGGCTTGTTTGTTTGTTTATTTATTTAAGATCAGGAAAGGTTTGGGTAATTGTAGCCTTCATGTGACATCTGCCCATATTAGCTTAGTTTCTAAGCTAGTGTAAGCCAAAATTATGAAGAATTCTGCCCTAATGGTATATATAAATGCTATATATACTATAATAATACCATTATATATAATGGTATATATAAATTATATACATACATATACATATATATGTATATACATATATCTCCTGCTTGAACAGGGGGTTGAACTAGAAGATCTCCAAGATCCCTTCCAACTCTGTTATTCTGTTAATATCCACAAATTGCCCCTAATACCGGAAACATCTAACCCATAAAGCCCCTGTGTAAGTTTCCAAATAAACCACAAACAAACTAGAAGCTGAAAGCAAACCATGGTTTTGATTCTGGCCTCTTACAAGGGGGGGGCAGTTTAAAGCCTCTGATTTTTATCTCCATAATTTGCTGAACATTTGATGTGAAAAACCAAATGAAGGCACTTAAGGGTGGGCCAGTCAGAATACTGGATCATGCAAACACAATTAACTGATTACTGATTGCCAAAATGCTTTTGAAGTATAGCTGTCCAGCTAGCTGTTCTGAAATTTTGAACCTTCTTGCTCGCCACTCTCCTTCACTTTTCCTCCCCATCTCTCAATCTATGCTCAGTTTTGCAATTCCAAAAGCATTTCAGGAATGCCACATCCATTCAGAACTTCCTGCTTCAGTCTCCGCCCACTTCTAAGCTTTGGTATATGCAGCCTTTAAAGGTTTTTTCAGCTCCTTGCCAAAGAAATGAATCTCTGAATTTTGCAGAGGTCATCGTTTGAGAAATAATTTTAAATCAAAAGGGATTACAATTTTCTTCTGTCGTGCTTTTAATAGTGTCTCCCTTCCAGTTCCTGTAAAATGTCTTGTTTGGACATTAAGATAAAGCTGTTGAATTCAAGCAACCAGGTTTTGAAAATATCAGGTAGAATCTGGATGGTTGGTTATCTGGGTTAAATGTTAAAATCTTTCATAATTGCAGATGCTTCAAGGCAGGGGTCTTCAAACTTGGCCCTTTTATGACTTGTGGACTTCAACTCTCAGAATTCTTCAGCCAGCATGCCTGGCTGAGGAATTCTGGGAGTTGAAGTCCACAAGTCATAAAAGGGCCAAGTTGGAAGACCCCTGCTTGTGGACTTCAATTCCCAGAATTCCACAGCCAGCATGCCCAGCTGAGGAATTCTGGGAGTTGAAGTCCACAAGTCATAAAAGGGCCAAGTTGGAAGACCCCTGCTTGTGGACTTCAACTCCCAGAATTCCACAGCCAGCATGCCCAGCTGAGGAATTCTGGGAGTTGAAGTCCACAAGTCATAAAAGGGCCAAGTTGGAAGACCCCTGCTTCAAGGGATACAAGCCATTATCTAGTGACCTTGTCTCCTGCAATAACAGGCACCATTTTCCTAAGTCTATTTACTGAAGTCCGGGTTGAAAACTGTATTAGTTTATCAGAATATATAATACAAAGAAAATGAACATAATGGAAAACTAAGGGAGAAAAAAGGGAGAAGGAAAAAGAAGGGAAAAAGGAAAAAAAGCATTGACTTCTGATTCTCTTTAGCACAGTAGAAGATAACAGCATTACAACCTCAACTCTTTACTTTTACACAATAATGTAAATTATAGATATAATATAAATACTGTATAAATCCCGGATGCTGCAGCCATCATAAAAGCTCAGAAGGCACATTAATAAAACCTTTGAGGAAGATGGGTGGTTCCAAAAAATATGAAAAAAATAAAATAAAAATAGGAAGTTGGATCAAAAGCCGGTCTCCCTACACGGAGAGCATCTTTCAGAATAGAGACAAAAATCTGATGTTGCTAAATTATAAATTTTACTATAGAATGCAGCTGATGAGATAAGAGGTGCTGGGACTTGTCAATCAGTTGCGTCTGGAAAGTTATGGGCTCTCCACCCTGTCCAAGAACATTCATGGGAAGTGTTTTGAGTACAACAATATTCTTGCTCAATCCATTTTGCAAAGAGAAGTGGGAGCTTTGTTACAGACCCTACAATGTTCGAGTTGTTGGCAGAAGGCTTCAGTAGCTAATGAGTAGCAGGATGCCCAGCCAAATACAGTCATATTTCTGAGATGAGCAGACTTACACATTCATTGAAATAATATTTTTCAAAGATTCAGTAGCTGTCCTTTGGGGTTGCTGAAATTTTACTTTTGACGGCAGACTTAGCCGGAGACGTCATTTCAGTTTCCCAGTTCAGTTTTTTTTTAGAACTTCGCTAAGATACAACAAAGACATCGGACCAAAATGTCTTATGGAAAAGAAGAACTGGGGAGGGGGAGGGGGGAAATGAGACAGAA